GAGGATGCTCCTTACATTGACAGTGACAGTCTGATTTCAAGTTCTATTGTGAGAGTTGCCAAGATGTAGAGCCAGGGCCACCATGTATGGATACAGTACCTGCCTGCCAACCACTGCCCATGCCCACGGCCACCTGTTACAATGGCTCATTTGATAGTGTTAGAGTTTGTTTTCCTCTTCCTAAAAACTCTTTTAATGGAGGGTTGGGGGAGCTTAGGCTTAATCTGGAGCCAATCTGGATCAGCTGAGCCCAGAGTCTCCCATGCCTGGAAAGCACAGCCTCAACATGTCCTTCATGGAATCACCTCAAGTCACCTGATCTTTGTGCCCTTTTCCTCTCCCTGAGTCCTCAGAGTTTTGTCCAGGGTAGAGTTGAGGGCTGGCTCCTGGCTCCTCCCCATAGATCTCTCTGCTCTGACACTGTCTGGGTCAGCATGACCCTCCTATAATTAATTATGCAGCAGTGCCCCAGAGAGCATTATGGGTGTTATTAGGATCAGTTCTTAGGCGTGTAGAGAACCAATCAAAGAACCTGAGCCCTTCTGAGGCTTTTGCAAAGTATATGCTTTCTTACTATTTCTTAAGGGTTATATCCATTGGCATTTAATCATTAAACAAGGGGAACTGCGCGTGTATTGGTGTGATTCCAGTTTGCTTTGAGGTCAAATACTTCCAAAAGTTGTTTACAAATCAGGTGCTCTCTTTGCCAAGTACCTGTTTAGACAGTGCTCCCCAACCAGTACTGCTTGACGTATCTTCAACAGCAAGCAGAGGACCGAGTTTACACAGCTTTACGAAAACAAAAATGCCCAGGACAAGCTCCAAAGCTACACAGAGACAATTAAAAGCAAAAACAAAACAAAACAAACAAAAAAGGAAACGAAAGCGAGTCAATAACTTCCACTTTTCTGGGGCTTAAAAAATAGTCTGGGGTCCGATAAGAGTGACCATTGAAGGACTAGCTGAGTAGGTGTGAGGTTAGCTCTGGCTGGAACTTGTACTGTGTTGAATAAAAGTGATGAAACAGACATCTTTTCTTGTTCTTGATCTAAGGAGAAAGTCTTCAGTCTTTCAGGATAGAGTATGATGTTTCTTGTGAATTTTTAAAAGGCACAGGCTTTGCTTTTAATAAGGTATTTCCTTCTAATCCCAGTTATAGAGCTTTTTTTTTTAAAAAAAAAGAACTAGAAAGAGTACTGTATTTTGTTGAAAGATTTTCCTGTATAAATTGAGATGATCTTGTGATTTCACCTCTTTATTATGGTGATGTGGATTCCACCGACCATTTTTTTTATTTGTCTATTGAACTGTCTTTGCATTTTAGAACCAAGTCCACTTGCTCATGGGGCCATGTAGTTCCTTTTCTATTATAAAATATTAGCTGTAAGTAATGGGTCTTCCTGAGTTCAGGTTGTCCTTGTGGGACATTTTACTCACTGATAATCTCTGTCTGTTCTCTTCAGGGAGACACGGTCTTTTTGTTTTCTAGGTAGCTCTAGCTTTCCTGGGACTTGTGTAGACCAGGATGGTCTTGTTCATGGGCATCTATCTGCTGTTGCCTCCCAAGTGCTGGAACTAAAAGTGAGCGCCACCACCCCTGGCCTGGGGAAATATTCTTAAAGGCATTCATCCATTCATGCTACATTGCCAGGGGATAGTGTGGAGTGTAAACATGGGATCCACCTATGACCACAGGTAGCGATGGTGGGTAGTTAGTTAGATCCACCTATGACCACAGGTAGTGATGGTGGGTAGTTAGTTAGATCCACCTATGACTACAGGTAGTGATGGTGGGTAGTTAGTTAGATCCACCTACGACTACAGGTAGCGATGGTGGGTAGTTAGTTAGATCCACCTACGACTACAGGTAGCGATGGTGGGTAGTTAGTTAGATCCACCTACGACTACAGGTAGCGATGGTGGGTAGTTAGTTAGATCCACCTACGACCACAGGTAGCGATGGTGAGTAGTTAGTTAGATTAGGTTAGGTAGAGCTCTGGGTTCCACAAAGAAATGTTGCAAGTGTTAAGCAAGGAAAAGGATTCTCTCTTACTGGTGTCGCATCCCCTGTTTTGAGATCTCAGAGCATTGCTTCAATAGAGGCTTTTGAGCAACACCTTGTGACCAGCATCGTAATTAATAGAACAATGGGTGAGAGTTAGGGGAAGAGGAAAGAAAAAATATCAATGTTCTTATGAAAAAATTTACATTTTTGTTTTCAGTGCAAGGGACTGAACCCAGAGCCTTGTGTTGTTAGGCAACTACTCTACCACTGAGCTACAGTTCCAACCCTCTTAATGGAAAATGTGTCAGAAAAGATTGACAGAGATGCTCCATTTATAAGAGGAATATTCACATTGTTGCCTAACATAATGGTAAAAAGCCTCTGAAAACCATATGTTATATATAAATTATATATAATTGATAACATTTTTTGAATTGTACCAGGGAATAAAATTATGTGTTTGGGTTCTGAGATTCTTCTGAGACAGATGTGTCTAAGGGTGAAATGACTTGCCCCCACCCAAACAAGTAGGGTGCATTACTAATTATGGTCATTTTCCAGTCTTGTAAAGGACATTAAAGCTGAGAAGGACTTTTAGTAAAGTCTAGGTATGGGCTCCAGGATTGGTCAATGCCATTAAATCATAGACAAACTGTGTTTCCATGTTTTGAATGTGCACAAGATCTCAAGAGGAAGATCTGCGACTTCTTTAGATTTGTTAAAAGATGTATGATTTAAAGAAGATAAAGAATAAAAGATGACATTTGACATAATATGCATCTTGGCTAGGCATGTCAATCCTCATGGAAAAACCAAGACCAGTGCTTAAGAAATAGCATGGGGGTGAGGTGGCTGGAAAGATGGCTCAGCAGTTAAGAGCACTGACTGACCTTCTGAAGGAACTGCGCTCAATTCCCAGCAGTCACAGGTGGCTCACAACCATCTGTAACTCCAGTACTAGAGGATCTGACATCCTCCTCTCTGGGCACTAAACATACATGGTGCATAGTTATACAGGCAGGCAAAATATCCATACACATAAAAATATTTTTTTCAAAAAGAAACTGAGCATCAGTTTTTGCTTGTTTGTTATCTCCAGGTTGGGTGGGGGTGGGTGGAGAAAGTCACAGCATTTTGCTCAGGTCTATGTGGTCCTTTGTGCCATTTCTGGTTTGGGAGTGGCTGTTTGCTTATGGATGTCACCCCATCTTTTTCTAGTGCTCATTTGAACATCATAATTATGACAAACAGTTGGACATTTAAATAGCTTTGAAACAAAGAGTAGAGATCTTGATTATCTGGAGAGATATAAAGGAAAGCACCGTTTACATAAATAATTACTATAAACAATCAGGTCTCAATGGGACATCTTAATTCTCTTTCACATTGAAGCCTTGAGGAGGCAGGTGGTCTAGAGCTAGTGGGATGGTTTGCTCTATGCATTGTCCAGACCTCTGTCTATCTTATTCTGTCATCTTCAACAGACAACTTTCATGGAATAATGTAAATATCTCTAGGTTCTGTCACCACATCTATCGTCAAGTAAGGGAATAAATAAGAAATAAAGGTCACACACTTTACCTTTTGAAGATATTAGCTGGAGACAGAACATCACTTCCGCTCAGTTCTGCCCAAAATTTAAAACCATGGTGTGTCTCGCTGAAAGACTGTAGGCTGGGGAGTTGACTCCATTGGTTAAATGCTTGCTGCTGAGTTTGGGTTCACAGAACCCTGTAAAAAGCTAGGCAAGGTGTTTTGTGCACCTCTAAGCTCAGTGCCACAGAGGCAGAAACAGGATAAAACCTGGGGCTGTCTGGTCAGTCTAGCTGAACTGGTAGCTCCAGGGTCAGTGAGAGACTCTGTCTCAAAGAATAAATAGTTCAAAAAGATACTCAGTGTTGGCCCTTGGCCTAAGCACACATATGCACTTGCATATGTGCACACATGTAGAGAAAGAGAGAGAAAGAGACAGACAGCGATGGAGAGATAGAGAGACAAAGAGAGACAGAATATACTCAGTAGCTGGTAACCATGCACCCAGCTAAGGAGTCTATTTATGCAGGAGTGGACAGACGATGTAGGAGGGATGTTGAGTCACCTACAGGCAGGCTATAATGTAAGCATGGACTGTGACTGATTCTTTAAAATAGAAACAGTATCTGGGACAGTGCTGATCATGAATGAGTCACAGCATGTAGGACGCCGTAATCAAAAGCCATCCAAATTTCCACCAGGCTACAGGTTTACTTGTAAAAGAAACTTCTGGGCTCTTCATACATATAACTACTGTTGCAAGTTATGGGGTAGCTCGAGGACTTGGGCCATACTCACTGCAACTATCAAAGCTCCTATTTAGTCTTACTTGGCCAAATACCAACTGCACAGCGAAGCAAGGGAATTATTCTCCAGGTAGCTGGTGCTCTTCCGCAGCTATGCACATGGGCACAGAGGAGACAAAAGGAGCATAGGAGCTGCACTACGTGAGCCTGTTAGAAGTTTCTACAGGAAGCTCTTGGTGTTGCTACATTTGAAAGCTAAATTTTCTTTATCTCTTTGAATATCATTGCTAAGATATGGATTTTATCAAACCTGAGATGGTAGGTCTTCTGTCTGATTAAGGTTTTTTTTTTGCCTCCCCAAGCCATCCCTTCTTGCTCTGTGCTCCCATGTCTATTAGTGCCTTTGCATGGTAGCAGAGCTGCTTCTTATGATTTCTCCATAATCAAAATGTCCAGAAATGCAAATGCCTGGTGGACACTTGGTGAGAGAAGGCTGGTTCCAAGGAAGACTTCCTATGATTGGACAAGTCAGTCCAATCCTTGGTCAGTTTCTCAAATCTTGGATTCCGTCTCTTCGTTCACACTTCCAGCCTACCAAAAAGTTCTCTTTACTCTCCCAAATGTCATCAAAATCAAAGGCACTCACACACTCATTCCTCTAAGGCCCACTGCCACCACCCTTGGCAAGCACCATCAATTTTTTTTGTTGTTGTTGTTGTGGGAGAGCATGAGTGCAGTTCCTTCACTACAAGAAATTATGAAGGCTAGTTTCCCTCATTGGGGGAAATCTCAGAAGTCAGCACATCTGAAGTGCAGTGGATGAACCTTGCCCTGGGAAAGCAACCTTCATGATTACAGTGTCTCTTCTACCAGGTAGGTATGCGGCATCTACTTTTGTCCTTGTCTGAGCTTTCTAATTGTGTTCTTTCTTCTGGTTTTTACTTTTACCCTCTCTCATCTATCATCACTAGTATGCTCATTATCCATGCAGCAGATATAAAACTACCCCCTCCTCTTTCTCTCTTGTAGCTCAGGCTGCTCTCGAATGCATGGTTCTCTTGCTGGAGTTATAAGTATGCATCATCATGTCCAGAAAAAAACTTCCCTACAATGCAGTTCACCTTAGGTCCACCTCTGGTTGAAAGCCTTTCAAAGGGCCTTAAAACACATCCAAATCTCTGATTAGGTTCAAATAAGTGATGAACTTAGAACTCTTTTAGTTAGCTCCAAAAATATACTTAAACGATTTTTGTAATATTCTAAGCTTAGACTTCCTTATTCAAGATTCAAAACCAAAAAATCATAAAGAAAAGTGCATATACATATTATTTATTTATTTATTTGGTTTGTTGAGACAGAATTTCTCTATGTAACAGCCCTAGCTGTCTTGGAACTTGCTTTGTGGACCAGGCTGGTCTTGGACTCACAGAGATCGCCTGCCTCTGCCTCTCAAGTGCTGGGATTAAAGGTGTGTGTCATCACTGTCTGGTGCCCTTTCTCTTCCTTAGGAGCTACTCAAAAAACTATGTGTGTGTGTGTGTGTGTGTGTGTGTGTGTGTGTGTGTGTTCATTAAATCTTATATCCATCCTATGAGGTTTTACAAGTGAGGAAACTGAGGCACAGACAATATGCCTCCTTCCAGAGACTGTATCAAAGTGAGACATCCAGTTTAAGTGGAGGAGCCAGGGACTGACGCTAGATGACTAGCTCTGGATACTACTGATGTCTGAGAACACACACACAGACATTATATATGGAATATTCAGAAAAGATTCAGGAAAAATGCACACTAAATTACTCTGTTTTAAGGGAAAGCAGTAGCTTCGTCAGGTCAGGGGTTGCAGCCTAGGTGAGGAGGCATTTTATCTACACTTCCCAGTGCTAGAAAAATTTTGCATTCAGCACATATCCATTCTCCTGTTACTTGTATAATTCTGAAAACTCTAAAAAAACCAGAAAACATATAGAAGTCACCCAGTGATAGGCTTGGTAATAATCATTAGAAAATAATTTGAAAATCTCTCCATCTCATACATATCCAGGGTCACCTGTGTTTCTTGAAGATGCCTTTGGGTAATGTGCAGCTGTAGAGAGGCCCAAACCCACAGCCCTCTAACCCCATCAGACTTAGGTTTTTCTCCATCTGCCTGGATCACCGGCTATAAACTTAACCTAAAAACAGAGGAAATTTAGTCATTGTCCCCTTGTGTCTAACAGTCAGGGAGTTTCTTCAGGTGCAAATAGATTCCATGCTTGGGTCTGAGGACAATGTGGCTGGAAAAGGCAGGAGGCCTGGTGAGGTCTGGAAATACTTGGAAACGGAGCAGAATCAAGGCAATGGCCACCTTTAACTCCAGCATGGCAAACTGCTGCCCAATGCAGTTCCTGTGGAGGGAGAGAAAGGAGTTGTTAGTTTCTAGAATAATAAGTCTGGAGTCTACGACAGCTCAGAGGTTTCCTCCGATTGAAACATTTTCTCCATGAGGGAGGGAAAGGACTCAAGAAACTCCAGAGGAGGACGGACTTCTCATCTGGACAATCTGTGACTTGGAAATTCACGAGGGCGCCTCTTCAGAGTTATGGAAGCAGTAAACAACTCCTGGGGAGGAGACTGGGCAGCTGTGCTGCCCAGAGACCTCTCAGACCAGTCCAGGAGCCTGCAAGTTGTACAGAGAGAGCCAGGGTTGCAGCTTTTGTGAGTGGTCATTTGTACTGGCTTGGACTTTTTGGCGAAGCAGCTTGTGGTGGTTTTGAGTAAGAATGCCGCCCCCTCCCAGTAGGCTCATGTATGAAGATAATGTCTACTTCACAGTTGATGGGATGGTGTGGGAAGGACTGGGAGGTGTGTCCTGTTGAAGGATGTGTGTCTCTATGGGATGGGCTTTGAGGTTTCCAAAGCCCAACCAGTTGGCGGTGGTGGCTCATGCCTTTAATCCCAGCACTCAGGAGGCAGAGGCAGGTGGATCTCTGTGAGTTTGAGGACAGCCCGGTCTACAAAAGCTAGTTCCAGGAAAGGCTCCAAAGCTACGGAGAAACCCTGTCTTGGAAAAACAAACAACAAACAACAACAACAACAACAACAACAAAACCCCCCAAACTCCAGCCATTCCCAGTTAGTTTTCTCTCTCTGCTTGGTGCTTGCAGATCAGATGCAAGTTCTCAGGTACCGCTCTAGCACCATGCCCAGCTACCTGCCGCCACACTCCCTCTCATGACAATCATGGATTCACCCTCAAACTCTGTAACCCCAGGTAAACTCTTTCTTCTACAAGTTGTCTTGGTCATAGTGTCTCTTCACAGCAAGAGAAAAGTAACTCAGACACAGCATCTTTTGAGCCATGCGTGTTCCCATGCACAGCTTTTCACTCTTGTTAATAACCCTAACAAAAATCCAGTGATTCACTAAATGAGGCACTAATACATCATAATCTGCTGGGGAGTCATCTTTCTGGGGTGAGTAGACGTGTTAGTTTTTCCCTGAGAAGTTCTTTTACACAACCCGAGTAAAGCTGAGTTTTCACACCAAATATCATTGAGACTTTTAGACTTTGTTCTTAGGTTGTTCCTTGCAAGACTGTGGAGTTGGAGGGTTCAGTGTGATGCCCTCCCTGAAGAAGGCAGCAGCTTGAGTCACCCACAAATTGTTTCTCCTACTACCATTGAACCTGTGAACGATACAGTGCAGGCTTGTTTTCCGAGGCATGACTCAGGAGATGCCACATTAAGTAGTACTGTCCTTGGTGAAGAGATGGGTTCTGGGAGGAACTAATGGAACAGAGGGGCTAATGGGTATAAATAATCTTTCTGTGTATATTTTCAACAGCTTAAGTTGACCTCACCTTGGGCCACTGGAGAATGGTAGGAAGGCACAGGGATGTCTCTGATCAGAATTCTCCTTGGTGAATCTCAAGGGGTCAAAGACCTGAAATGAGAAGACAATGCCATCACCAGCTTGACAATTACACATCTTTTAAGGTGATGCTCAGTGCTGATACAGAAACATATGCCAAAGAAGATATTTAAAATGTTCTGCAGGCCATATGTTAAGAAGATAGCATTAATTTTAATAATAGATTTTATTAAACAAAATAGTCTATCATGTACTTATTACAAATAATTAAGGAAATATTTCACTTTTGAGGGGGGGTACTGGATCTTCAAACTCCATGTTGCAACTCCAATTAGCCAAGTTGCTTAGTGGTCACATGGACAACACCTCTATAGACCTGGAGGGGTTATCTGTCCCTCTCCTGACTTGTCTGCTAGCCATTCTAAGAGTGCACCCACTTAGCAGAAATGAGATGTAATGGTCCAGCTTCCTATTCTATGGAGTGGATCGAAAGCCCTAGTGGATTACATAGAAGAAAACACTAGTGCTTATGTTTTGAATTTCAAGCATATCAAATCAACTCAGACTTTCTACACATCTCCTTGCCTGTCCAGGTCCTCCTTTCTCTCTTTCTGAGGTTATTCTGGGCTCTAGACAGCTGACCAACATGGTTTGGAACAATACAAGGCATTGATGGGAATCTGAAGGGCGGCAACTGAGAGTCTGGGATGTTGACTATTCATTGGCTGGCTCCTCCCTGTTGGTTGTCCTAGACTGGCAATATCTCTTCCACATGGGCCTGTTTGATGTTTCCTCTCTAGCTCCTACAGGTTCTGTAACTCTTCCCTCTGGGGTCCATCAGGTCTGGAAAAGATAAATGAGTCTGAGAGATATCCACTTTCATTTGCTTCCCCTAAACTCTGCCTGTATTTTCACAAACAGTTCCTTTATGGAACATTTGAACTGAGCAACACAAGTGTGCCATCAATATAACCAGAATCCTGATTGCTTCATACAATTAAAGAGACACTGAGCTGCCCACTTTACTTTACTGACCAGCTGTGGACCTGCAGAAATCTACTAGGTGTTCAAAGAGCTTGACAGGTGAGTGACTGAAACAGGCAGCGACAGTTGGGAGTGGATTGTGGGACTAAGGTCTTTAGATCGCAATAAAAATAAAGGATCTGAGGTGAGGACAAGGTCGGTCATTAGCGGGTGAGTTTTACGCAGTTACGTTCGCAGCGCAGCCATTTTCAGGCTTAACTGTCAAAACAGCAGCTACTCAGCACCACTCTCTAGAGCAGTCCACAGAAGGGAATCTTACCTTTGGGTCTTTCCAGACGGCAGGGTTGTGGTGGAGACCCCAAATGCTGAGAACCACAGTCATTCCTGGGTTGGGAGGGGAACAGAGAAAACTGTTGGAGTGTGCGGGAAGACGTCCTCCCGCTGAGCTATGTGTCAACGCTCCATCAGGGAAGGATGAGGGGAGAACGGGCTTGGGTTTAAACTGTAGCTTTCACAGCAATTATTTACCAAATTCATAATTTTATACTAAGGCACCTTGGTATCTGGCCAAAGAGCTAAACTGTACTTGAGTTTTCTGCCTCACTTGGGATTACTGCTAACATCTAGGTAGCACTCCACAGAGACTGTTCTCTTCTGCCTTGAAGATCCAGTGGCTAATTTCTCTAGGCACTGTTCATCTGTGAAAGGTGAAAAATTTGGGCAAAAATTCATATGGTTGGTGATTAAAACAATAAAAGGCAAAGAAGAGGAAATTTGAGCATCATTTTCTTATCCAAAATAATTCTGATTTTGTCCACAAAATCACAGACAGCCACAGGTTGTAGGCCTTGCCCTCAATTCTCCTGTTGGCCTGTGGACACGAAAGCAGATGAGGGAAATGATATCTCATGCGATCCCGCTGTCACCCATGTGCCCTGCGCAGAGACATCTGACTTCACACACAGGGTTGCTAGAGGTTCTAACTTTGCTTCACATCTGTGAACCTTATATACATATTGGAGTTTTCCCAATGGGTTTTTGGAGAT